ACATGTATCAGTCACTTATTATTCTCTTTTATCATATACTTGCTACGCACATCACCCCATTCTTCGAATCAATACGATTTTTATTTTGCTTGCTACCTATCATTATAAGGGGCTCTCTCTTTCTCTCTATTGTTCCCTTTTAACATCATGAAGAAGAACAGCAAGACAAAAAAGAGAAAAAGAAACAGAACAAGAAAAGTACGTGCACAAGTTGATCGATAACTTTGTTCGTTCAGCACAAAACAAATATCATTACGAACACTAATACACATTATATCAAATATATCAATACTAAATTTCTTTTATTGATATCACATGTGTGTATGTATCTTGTTCTGTTAGGTTAGATTATCTTTTCTTGTTAAATTATCTTCTCGTGTTGTAATATTAATTTTTTTAAGCTCTATTTAATTTCGTTTTGATTTCTTTTTTTGTCTCATTTCTTTTTCTTTTTCTACTCGTGTTACCTACATGTGTGCATAGAGAATAAATCGATATATACATGTTTTGTTTTTCATCGATAATCGCTGCTTGATTTTGTACAAGGTCGAAGTTTTGTTCAATAAAAAAAATAAATAAAAATAAGCTATCAAACATCGCTATGCTCTTCAAAGTTTGATTAAAATCATAACTTTTACATAGATACAATCAATTTCATATGTTATAATAGAGAAAACATATTGTAAATGTCTTCGAAAAGCCGAAATAAAAGTGAAATTTATTTGGTTTTATCTGAATGTGTCTATTTGATAAATAAAAAAGGAGAGAAGCCGATTCATTTGATTTGCTGTGCTATGGGAATTAAATAAATGAAAGAACAAAGCCAATCAATCTCATCATTAGAATCATCTAAGCAAATTTTCTTCTACTATGACTATTATTCGCAAGAAAAACAATATAGAGTTTGTTTTCAAAGTTTTCCATCTGACTTCTAAGCCTGAATTATAGTCCACCGTATTACCATTGCTATGAATATGTAAAAAAAAAGGTGACGACTTTTTTATTTCATCTACTACAAAATGTATAGTTCGACCATTGTAGAAGATGAGAATTTTTGCATTATAATGGCTTTTGTCTTTATTTGAAACGTTCAAGCGTCTTTTATCCTTTATCTATTCATCTTCGTTCTTTTTCTTTTTTTTTCTCAGTCAATTGTCTTGAAGTGAGATGGAATTGAATAAAGTTTGATGTGCGTAGCATCGATAGATCTTCGATATGTTAATTGTCCGTCCTTCATTTTATTCTTACTATTCACGTCTTGCTTTTTTATATTGATGGCTGATACATTCTAAACATCACATATTAGTTTGTTTACCAACATTACATACAAACATTACATTTAGAGATGTTCTCTCACTCTTTCTCTCTATCCAGCACTAATCATTAATACTAATTATAGCTGTTTGTCTAAGCCCAGACACAAGCCATTCGATGAGTAATCGAGCTTACAGAAATAATATGCCCCCTCTCTCCCTCTCCTTTTCAACGACGTATTATGATCAACAAGAGTTATATCTGTTTCACATGAATCCAACAGCTCTTTACTGTATAAATAAAAATTTCGTAGCTTTTCATATTCTCTATCTCAAATATGTTATTTATAGAGGAGTAGTGAAGACAATAGGAAAAAAATATCTAGTCATCACAATTCAAAAAGACGATGTCTCATTTCTCTCATGTAGAAGCAGCTCTTCTAAAAGTTTCTCATAAAATAAAAGAATTCTTGAATGTGTAACAGCCAGTATCTTCATGAAAGACATGTAAACAGTAGTCATCAATACAGTAGTGTTTACTACTTTTTCCTTTTTCTTGCCATCGGCTTAAGCAAAATAAGTTTAATACAATCTTGATATAGTATTTAGTCTGTATTTTTTTATTCTTGTTTTTGTTTCTTTCGTTGCTTTTTGATTCTTCTTCTTTCTCTCTCTTGCGCCATGTGCGTTTTAGATTATAGAAAAAAAATAGTGATTGATTATTAAACTTTATTAAAAACTAAGAAATAATACAAAAAATTGAAAAAAAAATGAACTGAGAAAAGATGGAAATATATAAATATTAAATAAATAGAATGAAGGAAGAAAAGGATACTAACCAAACATAAGAAATAAACTATAATTTAAAATAGGTTAGAATAATGTCCTTCGCTTTTGCTTCATTAATAGAATAATGCTGGGTTGAGTTTGTGCTTTCTAGAAAGAAAAAATATATTTATTAACTTTCGAGTAAAAACGTTATACAGGTTTAACTTACTGGATTTGTTGGTAAGGTATCATTTAAATATGTGTCTGACGTAGACAAAAAGTTGGAATCATACAGAAAGAACGTCTAGAAAAGGGGGAAAACTCTTTTACAATGGTATCTATAGTAGGATAAAGGTGCAAACTTTACTAAACTGACGAGACAACTTCTCGAAATGCTCACTTGTTTATGATTTGAGAGTACGTTTAAACGATAACGTCTAGTGAGTCAATAAAACCTGATTGGTCGGTTTGTCCTCACTGTTAATCGGAATTGACGAGCAAAAATTACGGATTAATCTCAGGAGGAAATCAAGAAGTCGACCAACTAGGATAGTGGATGTAGTGAAACTGATCAGTCATAATAGAGAATCTAAATGAAAATCCACCAATCAGAATCAAATTTGCAAACAAATCTATGATGTACTGATGCAATCTTTCCTAACGTGTAAGATTTTCAGCAGAAAAACCTGACGGCGGATCCGCCATAAGGTTAGGCTAAGTTTGAATCGAAGAATGGTTTGATTTCTTGAAAATTTTTTGAAACACGATCTAAAAAGAGTGTTGAAGTATAAGAGTAGAAATTTAGGTCTGCTCCCCTCGGATCATAACCGACATTACTATCGAAACCGTCACAGATCGTGACAGAAATAACCACGACACTGAGGTTTATTGTGAATTTTTTTAAAAAAACGATGGAACTTAAAATACATGTTTTTCGTTCTGTTTCAGGGCTCACTGTAACATTATCTAATATTTCAAAAACTGATAGATATGTTACTGAATCCCTTCATTTACAATAAAAGCAGATTCATCGTGATTCACATTTTAATCATTCAAGGATAGCGCTAACAGCCTTCTTTCTGTATTATGGAATACACTAGTGGCCAAAAGTATCACACGTAGGATATCTTAGGTCAGGATTCGAGTTTTTCCAGAATAAATTCGCCCCAAACACCTTTCCAAGTAGATTTTTGCAAGCTCCATCCATCCCGACTATCCTCTACAAACTAAATCCTTCCTGAGGCCAGAAAACCGCCTAAAACTACACAAAAATGCACCAAAATACCACGAAATTCCGTAGGACCTGTCGTGATTCGCTCAAAAGACCTTTCCAACGTAATGATAAAACTTTTCAAGTAGATCTTGACGCGCTCTACCTAATGGACACGTTTTAGGTTCGATATCATGCTCTGAAACGCTGGAAACCGGCCAATCCAGGACCGGATTTCTCAAGTTTTCCCACAACCCGTCGCGATTCGCTCAGAACACCATTACAACATAAAGATAAAACTTTTCAAGTAGATCTTGACGCACTCTATCTAATGGACATCATTTAAGTTCGACATCATGCCCTGGACCCTTGGAAACTCGCCAATCCAGGGCCGAATTTCTCAGGTTTTGCCACAGCCCGTCGCGATTTTCCTAGAAGACCTTTCCAACGCAATGATAGACCTTTCCAAGTAGAACTTGACGGGTGTGGGTGTGGGTGTAGGTGTTAATCTTCCCTTCACTCATACCCACGCCCACCCCACGCTCACCCCCCTACCCCACCCACACCTACACCCCTACCCACAATTAATACAAGATCTATTAAAATCCTAAAACAATAAATCTGGCCACGCTTCGATCACGATCCTGCTCGAAACTCTTCAAGAACAAGCATTTCGAATTCTTATAAAATAATTCAACTATGATCAGGAGCTTGGTGAGCAAATAGGAGAATCTCATGAAGATCTTTGCAGATGTATGTATCATGTCTATTCAGAATTTAGTTTCGAAGATTCTTTCAAGATTTGTCACTATTTGTATTAAGGATTCTGGCAAGAATGTATGAAAAGATATCCTTATGTTTTTAACTGGCTTTTGATTAGTATTCATTCAACATAAAACTCATGCGCTTTCAAAGGTCAACGTAAGCAAGGAGAATGTTTTTGATGGAAGTTCAGCTGTAAGATATTTGTTGAAACTAAGATCGACTCTATTTCATTTGATATTGTACGGTGGCGCCAATAATTTAAAAGCCGTTTTAAAATAAAATTCATCATTGAGCTACTCTCTCCTGAATTTAAATGCTTATTAAAATCAATTATAAATTCACTTGTTGCATTTTTTTGCATTGAATCAATAATAATCGGTTGTATCCCCATCAGAACAGAAGCACATGTCATTTACCTTGGGACTTTAGAAAACAGGGGAGAAAACTATGTTTGGTTTTCTGAAGTCTTGTAATTAGGCTATATTTGTAAATTTCTTTCAGGGTATAAAAGTCTAGAAAGATTTAATATTTTTAATTTAGAACGAGTTCATAATTCCAATGTGAAATCAATATAAAAAAAAACAAGCCTGATCAAAAATCTTCAAAAGAATAATTAGCATCATCAAGTCCACTGTAGTCATCAGATATTGAAAACAAAGTAGTGAAAATAGTTCAAAACAACTTAGGTGATACTAAAAAATGATGAAAAAAGTGTATAGTATGCAAAAACGAGTATCGGATACAAATAAGGTACAGTATGTTACCAGTTATTTACATATGGTTTTACTATTTGAAACAGTTCCACCAGATAAAACTATAAAATCTCGATCAAATAGAAAAAAAAATTGAACGAATTGAAGGAATTAATTGGAAGGTTTTAGCTATCATTATTTTTCTTTTTTAGAAACCTAATCTATCGCTACCAACTGAACCTTTAGTAAGTGCAAATGAATCTATTTTAGAATGGCAAGTTTTCTTTTCAGATCGTAAATAAAGTCAACTTGATGACACTACGTGACAAAACGGCTAGTAGATTTTTATTATCAGCTGCACGTATTGTTTTAACAGATGCAGAATTTACAAGAGATTATTTATCAAATTTTCGTGGTAATACAGCAAATCGTGTCCCAATTCCACAAGAATCTGTTGATTTACTTCAAAGTTTACAAATATTCTTATCTTTTTATCCCCATCTCCCTTTATTTTTTTTTGTAGGAGCCGTACGGCAAAGATTTGGGTTTAAAGAGGAAGATATGGGTAGTATATGGGCTTCCATTCGAACAAGTCTCGTACAAAGAGTTACTGATATTCGTAAAGAGTGAAAAGCGTAAAAGTCAAAAATAGGAACAAAACAAACAACCACAACAAGATCCTATTTCTTTATCTGAAGATAATCATGATCTTGTTTCTGTTGCAACAAATAATCAAACAGAGGTAAATCGTATACAAAATAAGAACAAATATATCGGTATTGCAAAACTATATCAATCAGAAAAGATATGTGGCGTGTGTTATCATTCATCAACACATGGAATTTGTTCAACAATTGATTGTACTCATGAAGCAATGGAGATTCCATCTGATGATGTAGTTGAAATTGTTTCATTCGATTTAGCTGAACAGTCGAAGATATTAATTGATAAAAATATAGATCTACTTCAAAAATGTCAAAATGAAGCACGAACACAAACTACATCTGATGCAAACGATGTTGTTAGAGGTGATGTTTATCAATCTATACTAAATGTTTATAAAGATTTTTTTGTATCTGTTATGATTCATAGTGACGGCATTCCTCTTTATAAATCTAAAAATTGTAATGCATGGCCTATATTAGGTGCTGTTTTGAAACTTCCACCATATTCTAGAACTCGTGATGATAATACTCTTATTCTTTCTCTTTGGATAGGAAAACAGAAGCCAAACTTTAATATTATTTTTGAAAAACTTTCTAAATGAATATCTCGTCTTAAAAATGGGGGTATTGAAGTAAATAATAACCAAATAGTGAAAGTTCTCTTTCCTATGCTTATGGACGATATGGCTGCTTTATCTACTATGGTCCAGTTTGTAGAACATAATGCTTTCTATGCATGCATGTTTTGCAACATAAAAGGGACCTACAATCATGTTGGGCAATCCGTAATATATCTTATCGATAATGATACGGAGATAAGAACGAGCGAGAATTTCGACAAATGTGCTCAATTAGCTGCTTTAATGCAAACACGAATAGATCGGGAAAGAACACTGGGTGGCAAAGGTTTGAGTGCTTTTTCCGAGCTTCTCGACGTTTCTCTACCTCACTCCGTTGTTATTGATGCAATGCATACAGTTTTCTTATGTCATTCCAAAAAACTTCTTATTCCTTTACAAACATTTATCACAAGAGAAAATCTTTTAAAAATTAATTTAAAACTTCGTTCAATAAGTTTTATACATGATATTCTTCATCGACCACGATCATTCTCCAATGTTGAAAAATGGAAAGTATCTGAAGTACGATTATTGATTTTAATATATTGACTTGCCTGTATTTGCAGAATTTTTACCTGAAGAAAGCATTGGATATTTTGCTTTATACAATGTTATTCTCCGTCTTTTACATGACTATTGGGATAATGATAAAAAATTAGGTGATTTAATAGCTAGTTTATTGAAAATTTACATTAAAAACTTATCAAAAAATGTTATTTCCAATGTGTATTCACCCAAACTACTTACAATATCAACTCATACTCATCTCCATCTTTCTTTTTAGTATAAAAAATTCGGTTGATTAAACTGGTTAACAAACTTTGTTTTCGAAAGTTTTCTTGGCCATTTGAAAGCATTTGTGAAAGGTTCTTCTGGAGTAGGAAATTAATTGGCTTTTTCTAATACGATATTTTTGTCTCGTCTTCATTATCTTAATACCACTTATCACTATTTTCTTTATTCTCGAAAAGGTTCAACGTGTAGCAATTTAGTTTCTTATGAGAAAAATGATGTCCTTGAGTATGGTTATATTCTCTTCTTTCTTTCAACGGATGGAAATCGTTCAGCTGTTATCCAAAAATTAACTCGTGTTAATTATTCTTTAACTTCTTTTTCATCGTGTAGATATGTACCCGCTGTTACAGGTTTTATAGATAACGTGTACATTGTTGTTAAGCGTGTTGAACCGTCGCTCTTAAAATCTGATCATATTGATATTTGTCCTATAATTTCTATTCCTTCTCGCTGTTTTTTTGTTCCTTTTCGTGATGAATTTATGATTCTCACAAGCTACTCATGTGCCTATGAACATAATTAAATAAAAGTACACAATAAAAAGTTTAAATGATTTTTAGTTGAGCCAATGATAAAAAAAAACAAAAAAATAATGGATAAATTGAAAGATGTATTCATTAAATTTCGAATTAAATGAATGAAAAAAAAGCGAAGAATAAAGCAGAAAATTCATAGTGATATCTTGCAACAATTCTAGCACAATCCTGCCACGATACTGGTAAGTTCTACACTACCAAGTATGAACTAACAAAGTATTACATGTTGAGTCGTAATAGATCCTGTCAGGTTCCTTCAGGAAAATTAAAGGAAGAGGTCATGGAGTCAAATAGTATCCTGAATGGATTCTAAGTTTTTGTTAACAATAGCTGTGAAAATCTTGAAGGGATCCTATAAAAATCTTGAAGCCAATATGACAGGATCTTTGAAAAATCCTGTTTCCAATCCTGACAGGATCCTTGAATTTGATGGCTGCACGTTTCTTTCAGGGATTAGTCGTTTTCTCAGGGAAAAAGAGTGAATCCTTGCAGGATCCTGGCCGTATCTGGAAGGGATCTGACACTAAAACGTCAAAGATTTTCCCCAGGAATGCATTATTTTTCATTCACTCAATTTGTGTCGAAAGAAGAAAGCCGAAAATAAAATTGTGGAAAGTTAAAATGTCGAAAAGTTAAAATCTCAAACAGAAAAATGCTGAAAGTAAAATTATCAAAATATATCTTGTTTTGTTAGTTTCGATGTTCGAAATTCATGTAGAATATGGAAATATGAATGCTCGATAACTGATACGAAAATGACACTATGAGTCAATTGGTGTGATGTGATAGTCTCGTAATCGTTCTTATTAATTGATTACATGATTCATTTTATCCTTAATTGAAAAACGAAATTTCAGAATTAGGATGAGGGTAATCTTTTATTCTCACCCTCAACCTCAAAAACCTACATGGGCAAAAATTTATACAAAATCCCATCAACACTTTGTATAGTCAATATAATGATGGCATAATCAGTTCATCAGATCTTCTTTCCAGCTTGTCATGTATTGCTGGAGTGAAAAAATAGATGTGCAAAAATATGCACCATTCAAGTTATCTTATTCGTTAAAATTGCTCCGTATCTCATCTTTGCTCGTTGTAAAAAAGAAACATTTTTTCCTTATCAATATAAGTTCTATAAATGAAACAAATATATCGAATCCTTTACCATGCACTACATAATAATTTGCAGTGTCTCGACGTCTCAATAATTCGATATTTTTATCTTATGATCTTTTTACAATTCAGCATATTTATCTATCGACATTTTTTTCAGCATGCCTATCTGCAAGATTGTTAGTTTCGAGTTTTGACTCTGTGCATTTTTATCCTTCGACATATTTTCCGTTACTTTTTCGATAATTTTCTTTTCAGCCAAAGTAGTATTTATCGTGTTGTCCAAGGACGAATATAACAGACTATGAAAAGGCAATCAAACCTTTGGTAAAAGAAAAACTAACCATTGCAAACTGGGCTTCCAGTCACCCTTACGGTCGCGCCTATAACCCTGATCATTTTGAAGATTCCTACAACTGACAGCAGTATCATTCGGAAAAATCAATACTTATTGCATCTCTCCAAATTCCCCACTCTCGGGAATAATAACATGCCAACTGTTGCAAGGATAAAAGTTCGCTCTCTTCCACTCTTCTTCTTCTAATAATCTTCAATAAGTCTCCTATTTCAAATAGCGGTCTTCTCTCAAGATATTCACCAATCCAATCCCATAGTTTGACATACTACATGAATAACTTACATCCGAATTACCTTCTGATTCTATTTCACATAGTAAACAAATACTACCAAAGAAGATTGTATTCATCTCCGCTACTGAAGCCCATGCGAAGTCTCGACATTAATATCATTAATCACGTTCGTATACAAAGTAAAGGCTACCAAGCCAGACGTCATACCATTACTGCTTTTGTTTTAACCCATAGGTATGAATTAAATACCGAAAGCAATCAAACTATCGCAAGTAAATAATGCGCACCAAGGATTCATTCTTCTATAATCATCATGTCCATAAAAAGCCATAGCTTTAGTAACTTCAACGAAGCATCATTCCAAGCGGATTCTGCCTACGCAACTACTTCTCACCTATTCCGTTCATTTTTCCGTCCTCCTCGGATAATACCAATCGTTATTTGACACCGCATAACAACTGAACTTGATCATCTATACTTCCATTTATCTATATCAGTATTTCCATAAGAAGAGAACATTTTAATATATTTATCCACAATTACCTGTCCCACGTATTTATCCCTCAAAAGCTTCATTCGACAATACTATCCCTTTTCTAGCGAAGCCATATCATGAAACTTTCACCGAAACCCCAAAAACAAATGATTCTTACTTACAAGCACTATATTTATCTCTTTGATTCGCATCGAAGTGGTAGAATGATGTTAAACCTATGAGTAAACATCATATGACAAATGAATACTATTCATTAACATTCTATTCATCTATTTCATTCGCATCGAAGTGGCGGAATGACGTTGAACCATTAAGTAAACCTCTTATCACAAATGAATAGTATTCACCAAGATTCTATTCATCTATTTCGTTCGCATCGAAGTAGTAGAATGATGTTGAACCTATGAGTAAACATCATATAATAAATCAATACTATTCACCAACATTCTATTCATCTCTGTGATTCGCATCGAACTGGTAGAATTCTGTTGAACCTTTGAGTAAACATCTTATCGTAAATGAATACTATTCATAAAGATTTTACTCATCTTTTTCATTCGCATCGAAGTGGTAGAATGATGTTGAATCTGTGAGTAAACCTCATATGACAAATGAATCCTATTCATCAACATTCTATTCATCTCTTTGATTCGCATCGAAGTGGTAGAATGCTGTTGAACCTT